TATAGATTCTCTCATCATCATTGAAAAAAAATCAAAAATGAAATTCGGTAAACGGCTTCGTGATGAGATGTGTCGAGTGGAGACTCTCGTACATGGATTACAAGTTATTAAAGAAGCTGATTAAACGAATACAAAACAAGTTGGAGGAGAGATATCATATTGATATGCAAATGATTTTAAACGAAGTTCCTCCGAGTGAGATTGGTGTTCGAACGATTATTTGGATAAACCACTCATTTCGTTTTCTGATGAAATGGTATATGCAGTTACTGGTCTTGGAGAAGAGAAGGATGAACGGAACTTTATAAATTATTTAGAGGAATATAATTTGGAAGGAATGTACTTGAAAATTGTTCCGAAACTTGCCAATTTTTTAATCGATTAGAAAAGGAGTTGGACAAAGTGAACAAGTTTTATATCCAAACAGAACGCAAATTTTGTGTTAGGCATGCGGAACTGTTGATGCAGTTGAGTGTCGGATTGACTGAAACGCTCTCAAAGAATGACAAACAAAAAGTCAGAAGTGCATTCCAAGAACATTATAGAGCCCTTTTGCTTTTGATGAATTTCCGAACTTTAAACTTTCAAGGTTTCTCTAATATCTTGAAAAGGTTTGTAATCGGAATTTTGTTGATTTTATCATCATGATGAATTATTCAGTTGGATAAATATACTAAAAGCAAAACCAAAAGCAAATTGATGAAACGAGTGAGAGATTCGTATTTTACTCATCCAAAGTATTGGATTACATGATGTCGCAAATTGAGTACAAATGCTCAGTTTACATGTTCAAAGGCGACAGAAAAAAAGCCAAAGATTTTCTTCGACTTCCACAAACTGTAGAGAAGCAAACGTCTCCGTTCAGGTCCGGTATCTCAGTGGGAATTGGAATAGTGCTATCGGTCGTGTTTGTTTTAACCTATGTATTCATGTATCCGAGAGATGACCCTCCGTCTTTTCGGATGCAACTATGTATGTGTATCGTTTGACTTTGGTGCCGATTATTTTGGCAGTTTTGGTTGGTGTGAATCTTCAAATTTGGAAAAATGCAAGAATTAATTATGTATTTATCTTTCGTTTTGATCCCAGAGATCACTTATCAGTGTCTCAATACATTGAGGTATGTTTTAATTCAGTGAAATAATTAATGCCTTACAACCTTTTCAATAGATGACCATGAGCTTGTACAATATTACTATGGGAAGCTTAATTATTTACATGTACTCTATCATAACGAACACGTTTTATGAGTACGCCTATCTCCATCAATATTTCTGTTTACATTTATCTTCATCTACATGTGTTTCCCATACAAATGGTTTTATGGTCACAGCAGATTATGGTTGTTTAGAATCATTCTGAGATTATTGATGGCTCCTTTTAGAAAAGTAGAATTTGCAGACTTTTGGTTTGCCGATCAGCTGACCTCACTTTCAGATTTTCTCTTTGAAATTCAATTCTGTGCTGTGTATCCATCTCTGTGGGTCGACAAAATTGACTCTTTCTGCTCAGACTCCAGATCTTTGGGTATTCCAGTTCTTAACATTTACCCAACTACATTCGTTTAATGCAATGTTTGAGGCGTTACAGAGACAGCAATAAGCCCCATCCCCACATTACTAATGCGTTCAAATATCTCTCAAGTATTATTGCAACTCTAATTGCATTTTTGGATAAGAATATTGTCGCTCGTAAGTATTTAATAATTAGCCACCACATTTAATCATGTACTCATGCACTTGCAATAATATAGCTACTCTTCCTGGAAGCAGCTGGAATTATATGAGAACCACTTGGGTGGTTGCCAATATTATCAGTTCTATGTATAAGCTACTTTGGGATGTTGTGATGGATTGGTCTCTAATGCAATTCAATAAGGATTCAGAGCACAAACTATTGAGAAAAGAGCTGTTCTTTCATCCATACTTTTACTATTTTTCAATAGTGACAAACATTTTAGCAAGATTCTTTTGGATTGTCGTTTTACTGTTGAAACAGTTTTACAGTAAATATTTAACAGATCAGTGGATAGGTTTTTGTTTTTTGGTTTGGTGAGAGATTTTGAGAAGATTCCAATGGAATTGTATTCGATTGGAAAACGAACATTTGAACAATGTTGGAGAATTTCGTGCGACAAATGTAAGTCATACTATTTGACATTTGGCAACTCATTCAAATTGATTACTTGTAACAGGAAATTCCTCTGCCATTTGAAATTACTAGAATGATCAATGCAAAAGAAAATCACAAACGTGGACAGTAAGTATCGAACGATTTTAATGAAACAAGTTATGCTTATTATAATTTTATTGAAGAATTTTTGCATTATATTTTCTTTTGCAGTCCAAAATCTGAGGATGACAACAACAGGAAAATTAGTCTCAATCCGAAGAATTTCCTTAAACACAGCATCTCTCATGTTTCATCACTACTTGGTCATGGATTTGGTTCAAATCATAATGTGAGTCCACGAAAATCGGTTCAGCAAGAGCACGAATATGAGTTGGACATGTATCATGTTTCTGATGCAGTTAGCAAAACAAATGTTGTTGATAAATCCAACTTGTCGAATGGAATAAGCAACCACGATAAAGATGTTGTGATCGACATCAAGGATGATGGAGATGAGTATGATGGTGGTAAGGACAGTGACCTAGAAGAGGAACAAAAGTCGAGCTTACAAAAACTGCAACTCAATCCAATAATAATAATGGACTGTTTGTGAACACCTCAAATTTGAAGGCAAGGAAACAATCATTGTCATCCATTAAGGTCGACGCCAGCAATTCAAGCTTCAAAGTGCCACACACAATTCCACCCTCTGTAGAGATGAGTCCATCCATGAAGCCCAAATCAAGAAAGAAGACCATTGTTGTGGTTGAGGATGATGAAATTCCAGAGACACCCCATCTGACGACAAGATTTGGAGACATTTTCACCAGCGAGCCCGAAAATCAGCATATGGACAATGAGAAGCCAAACAAAACGGAAGATCAAGAGAAGAAATAGATTAAATATTATTATCAATTATTGAGGTAAATAGTCATGATGTTCGAAATTACTTTATTAGTGTAATTTACTTTTTCTTCCTTGGAATAGTGAAGTTGAACGAATCTGAGGCTACATTGGAGTGTGACGAGCTTTGCTCTGTTGGTTTGACCTTTTTTGGGGAGGTGCAAGAGATGAAGAATTATGAGAAGAAGGAGGTGGGCGCTGTTGTTTTGATGGTACAGTACTGGTCGAATTGCTCTTTGATGGGGCATTCAGTTGGCGTCTGACAGAATCATTTTCAGTTTGTCGTTTCAATTTTTCCATTCTCTTTGATGTCTCCTTGCCAAACATGCTGTCCACATACGAAGGTGTCACAATTGGCGAGTCGGTGGCAATTGAATCCGAAGTGGGAGGGATGAAGGTCGTTGTCTTGTGAAATCAATGTTGCTTGCTGCCCTGTAAACTGGTTGTTTCATGACAACAGGTGGGATGTGTGTTGTACTTAAATTTCCAATAGATGGCTTTGCATAGTTTGATTTGTAGCGGTCTGCATTAAAATCTGTTGTCACAATTGAAGCAGGCTTTCCTGGTTTGAAAATTTTTGAGGTGCTGATGTAGTAGTGGATTCTTTTGTTTTACGTGATGTTGATGTCTCTCCCAAAGATTTTGTCCAGAGTTTGCTCTTCTTTGGGGCTGTTGTTGCTGTATTTGATGTGTTTCTACTTCTAGAAGATGAAGAGGACGAAGAACGTGATCTACTACCACTACTATTTCTAATTGTATTGGATGCAGCTCTGCGAGAAATAACTGGATCTATGGTTTGAGTCGTGTGCTTATCATTTTGTTGTTGACTCCTGTAGATGTAGTGCTACTTCCAGAAATTATTCTTGATCCCTTTTTCAACCTTGTTCGATTCCTTAATTTCACGAAGTTTTTTTCTCGTGCCATTTTCTCTTGATTGAGCTTATTGTACAATTCTTTCCAAGTGCCATTACCTTTATCAGCACAGGCTCCTGTTTCATATATTGATTATTATTAATCGTCATTTGTTGAACAATGATGAATGATTCCAAATATTCAACAATGACATCATCGTTTTGAAAATAAATTAAAATATAAAACCCACCTCCAAAATCTCGTATAGTCAAAATTCTCCATAGATCATCGGTATTTAATTCTATGCCTGCTTGCTCGTTCTTACTTTCAATTTCATCAAGCTTTGTAGCATCACAAGCTGAAAGAATACGCTGTATAATAGCATCCTCGACATTGTCCAAAATTGGTAAACTATCGACATGAGTTTGCAATAATTTAGCACATATATCAAAAAGTGATGGAATAGCCGTGCTTTTCACTATCAGAATGGTCAATTTCAATTCATCATAATCCCGAAATAATTTCCGATTTTGGGCATTTTAAAATATTTGAAAATCATGATGGGTAGATGATGGTTTCATCACTTACTCGCTTCAAATTGCAAGTTTGATCCTTGCTTTCGTCGAGCAGTCATGTTTCCGCTGCTCTGACTTGAGGCAGGAGCTGTCGTCTTTTGGCGAGGTGGTGCTTGGCTCATTTTTTATGATTAATTTTCAAGTTTACAAAATGGATAGCGAAAGGTTCATCCATGCGATCTTTCTGAATGTTGTTGAACAGGACAATATAGGATGACAATCTGCTCTCATCTAAGGTTTCAACATCTGAGATCCTTCTTGTCACAACTGGATATTGCCCTTTCATCTTTCAAGAAACAGTAATTCGGCCTTAAATCAATGAACAATAATTAGTACCATTGAATATATGTAATGCCAGACTTATTGTGAGCCTTCCTATTTCTGGGAAACATCTTGATGCAACACTTCAGAGTCATTAGCTGAAGGAGGGGTAGAATTGAGGAGAAAAGAGGATGCGTTTGCCTTCCAATATTCAATAACACCTGTCATGTTTGGAGATACATGTTTTCCAAAGTGTCACACACTCGCAAAATTCGCGAAAAGTCAGATGTGCAGAAACACTGTTCAATTTCCATTGAACATTGGCGAATTTTGAGTTGATTTTCGGTAGCTTCTTTAACAGTGGATTCCATGGTATAAATTCGAACTGGATGACTCTTTCCTGTGAGTGTAACATGGTCTACAAAATAGCAAACAAATTGATCTTTGACTTTTCAAAGGTGTTGTGTCCAATTAAAACTTGTGTTCCAAATTTTCTGTTCAGCTTGGTAATACCAGAGGCAACATTTGCATCATCTCCAAGAACCTTTAATGAGTAAGACATTAATTCCAAAAATAACCCGTTTTGCACATTACTTACTGTAAAGTTAATTCTCGAATTCGTGCCAATATTTCCAGCGAGAAAATTTCCACTATTTATAGACAAGCCAAAGTTGATGCATGGATAATTAATTTTCCTCCACCTCGAATTTAACTTGGCGAGACATTGTACAATTTGAACGGCAGCATTGCATGCCAGTATCTCATGATCTTTCACACTAGTTTTTGGTCCATTCCAATATGCTACTATTCTATTACCGGCATACTTATCAATTGATCCTTTGTGATTTTCAACGATCTCATAAATTTCTGAGAAGAGATCGGTGCTCAGTGAAATAAAGCTCACTCGATCTGTTTTTCAGCAAGAAGAGTAAATCCATACAGGTCCATGACCAGTATGGACATGTTCTCTTGAAATCATTGCTTCTCCGGCGAACTTCTTGGCGATGACATCTGGCACATATTTAGAGAAAATGCTTAGACCTACACGCATGCTATTTAAACTTTGTTGCATTTGACGAATGTCATATAATACGCTAAATCCCATCGAAACTCTTTTGTCAAGCCGAACGGAACTAAAATTCCCAGCCACTAATTCCTTCATTTGATGCTTGATTCCCTCAAAGAGAGTTGAATGAATTGAACAACTGAAATTATAATAATTAAACCAAGGAATAAAACAACCGCAAATATGACAACGGACGAAATACTACTTTGAAGCACTTCTTCAACAAACAATCGTTGAGGTACTGCAATAACAGAGCCCCAATTAAGTCCATATTGATCAGTGATTGTAAATAACACAATATCTAGAGTAGGTGTTTGTCCTGTTTGAAAGAAAAAACTTCCTGCTTCCTTGATTGCCAATCCTTGTAGCTGTTGATTGGAAGGTGCGTTTTTCCAAGCAGTAATTTGTTGCAAAATCCTCTCGAAATTGTTTCATTGACAAGTGCGTTCATAATAATATCTGATTCGTTCTGTAATGAAGGATATCCTAAAAATTTGGTAGCAGCAACCATTTGTCCTTGTGAATTAATAATAAATGAAGCAGCCACACCTGCTCGAATGGCTGATTTAGTTAAAGTGTCAGAGATATTTTTCACATTCAGTTGAATTCCAATTACTCCAAATAAATGGCTGGGTATCCTAGGAGCGGTAGAGCTAGGATATATAGCAGTGCTGGAATAATTTGCATTTAAACTTGAAATAGTGCTATTAATATAAATAGGTATGCAGGCTGCAATGGACGGATAGAGCGAAAGAGCGGAGTAGAAAAACGGGCTCCACAAAATTTTTGGGTTGGTTGTATTCACAAAAGGTTTATACCAAGGTCTTGCTGTCATATCAACACTGGAATAATAACTGGCCATAATATTGGATGGAGCTAAAATATTATCTATATCATTAATGACATGATAGTCAGTGACAGGTCTAGTTAAATTGACTGCATTTTGAGATTTGTGAAAAATTCTCACATAGGTCAGTTCTAATCCAACCATGCTCTGATCAAATCTTCCAAAATATGACATTTGAATTGGTAATTTGTACTGATAGACCCTTTTCAAGTTATCGAAAAGTTTTAGCCAACCTAGATTATCATTTACATTAACATCAAGGGATTGATATAAAACATGATTAATTGCCAACGACGTCGTTTTGATCAAGTCACTCAGTTCGTAATCCATAACTAGATTCATTTGAAGCTTTTGTTTGGCGATTGACCTTTGCACAATATTATCTCCTGTTGTGTAGAGCAAAATAAATGCTGAAATAATAACAGGATTTTGGATTAACATGAAATTATTATTTGAAAATCAGCCCACGGATTTTCCACTATCTCACTATGTTGAATCCTACTTACAAGAAAACAATCCAAACAATCCTTGCAAAATAAATAACATCAAAACCACGTTCATGATTGTAATACATTGCGGTGGCCATTTCATGAGTTTCCAAAGCCACGAATAATGTTTTTATCCGACTTGGCATTGATACTACTACAACTAACCAGAGATTCGCAAGAAGAAGAGGAAGATCGTTGTTGTTGTTTCGGGTCATCCACAGGATGGTCCTGATTCATTCGTCTTTCATGTTTGTTGGTTCCTATGGCCGTAGAAGAATACAAAACTCCAAGTGGAAGAGAAGTGGTATCATCCTCTTCACCCATTGCAATGATCGTTTCTCCTGGTTCCGAGCGCGTTGGAGAATGTGCAAAGGTTGTTGCTGCTATTGTTGAAAGAGAGTCTTTCTGTTGGTGCATCTCTCTCCGAAGAAGAAGGATGCGCGTATATACGCGAGGGTTACAACCACCGCTACTGAATGAGGAGGAGGATGAGGAGGATGTGTTCCTGCGTGCGAAAAAGAGGTTGAAATATTTCGCCTCCTCTTTCTTCTCGTTTTTTTGTCGTTGTTTATGTTCCTTTTTGCCAAGTTTGGAGTTGAAATTAGAAAGGTGCATTGTGGATCATGATGAGAAGGATTGAGACCATAACTATGTGCAGTATCTCGGAACCATTGAAACCCTTTAAACTTCTCAACATGTTTTGAAACTATTTCTTGTTGTTAAAGGAAATTTATTTTCATAAACACATGGAATTGAAGCAAGGTGAGGAACATACAAAGATGAAAGTTAGAATAAAATATAAGAATGCAATGAATAACCTTCTAAGCGTTTTGTGTTCAAGAGTCTATTGAATAAAAGTTTTGTTGTTGAATATACGGATTGAATATCTACTCTTCAAAAAAAATAAATGATACCACTGCTCTATAATAAAGGAGATGAAAACAATGATGATCGAAAATGATCTTAAATAAGGCTTGTTTAGAATGTAAATGCGATTATTCCTTTTGACAGGTCACACTCCTCAACAACAAGTGACAGGTGAAAAAAACACTCAAAAAAATGTCCCAACTGAATCAACACTTGATCGAACAGTTGACCAAAACTCCAGAAGAAATCGCAAAACTCCAAGAAACCGAACAGAAAATTGGAGGCATCATCAATTGGTGTGCCTACAATTATCAAAATGCCGATAAAGCCTCAACCTTTGAAAAGACTCAACAATATTTGGCTGCTGTATTGACTGTAAGTGGTTGATATGAATAATAGGAATAATAGGAAAGAATGATGATGTTTGATTCAAACCATTGGATTCATGTATTGTGTTGGAATCTTTCCGTATTGTTGTTGTTGTTGTTGATGATTTTCAAAATCTTCTGATTTCCTCTTTTGATGATGGTGTTTTTTTGCTGATGATGGGTTTTTTCTATGTCCTATATTTCAATGATGATGAATTCAAACTCTTCGAATCATCATCGTAATGATCATGTTCTAATCATCATGCTCCTTCTCATTCCAACAAAACCATAACAACCATCATAACAACTCTGAATTCACACACACCTACACACGTGCTCTCTCTCTTGTCCTCGATTGCTTTCATCTCACCATCCAACCACCACAAACATTACTACAAACATTCAGAATGTTGTCTTTTATGTAGAATCATCAAGTCGTGAATTAGAAACACTCATCGAATTAGAAGCTCAAGAAATCAATCGTATTGGTTCAGAAATGACCATCATTTACGATCGTTTAAAATCTGCTCGTTCCTTGACTGGTCGTGAAGAGTTGACTAAAATGCATGCTGTGAAACCCACAATGAGAACTGGTTTGAAAAAGAGAACCGTCGAAGTGACAACAAGTACTCACACCAAGGACTTGAAAATGAGTCATGGAGATATTAATTTGAATTCCTGTAGTAATATTGGTATTTCCATTAGTGGCAATGAGAATAATTATTCACAATCGAGTCCAAATACTTCCACCACTCCAGTCACCATGCCAAACACCAACAACAGTTTTTACAGTTCAAGAGCAAATGAGACTGGTTCTTCCTTTATTCGTTCTGCTTCGACTGCTCGTTTAGGAACACCTGTGAATTTGGAAGTGCCATCCAGTCTTTCCACAACAACATCAACACCTGCGACACCTCCTCCATCTTCACAATCGACTTCTTCATTCTATAATCGATCCAATAGTAGCATTAATGTTCCTCCTCCACCACCATTATCATCCACCCATGTTGTTGTTGTTGATTATGGTCACAATTCTTCTCCTCCACCACCTCCACCACAGAATAACATGCCACCTCCACCTCCACCATCCTCATCGAGTGGTGTGCCACCTCCACCCAAGTCCACACCTCCTCCACCACCATCATCTTCATCCAGTGGTGTTCCTCCTCCACCTCCAAGTGGTGCTGGTGTTCCTCCTCCACCAATGAAAATGGTGTCCACACCTCCTCCTCCACCACAGAATGTGGAAATTCCTGAAGATCCAACTGGTGGTGGTCGTGGTGATTTGTTGGCATCCATTCGAGCTGGTAAGGCATTGAGAAAAGTTCCTCCACCAAATGACGCACCAAAATTGCCATCTAAAAGTGAGATGAGTGGTGGTGGAAGTGCTTCTACAAGTAGCAGTGGTGCTGGAGGCGGTGGTGGTGGTGACATGATGTCACAAATCTTGGCAAAACGTAACAAGATGATGAACAAGTAAAGTAATTCTTTGTATTCTACGACTCGAGTTGTGGTATTTATTCCATATTACTCATACACTGACGATATAGAATGCAAAACCTGTTACATGTATCATGACAATTGACCAATATAGCTATTTTTCATAGCCTTTGATTGAACATCTTAATAAATCTGATTTTCTTTGTCATCATTACCGTTGAACTTGATTGAAAACCCTAGGTATTTAGGTGTGATTTTGTAATACTTCACAACTTCAGTTTCAATCTGAAATGCTGCGACAACCCCCCTTGATAAAAGAAAATGGATTTTGATTCTTCATTACAGTCTCTTCAATGGATTCGAATTCCTCCTGACTGTTTCTTGCTTCTTGCAGTTTCCCTTAACGTGTTCAAAATCTTTACCAAGCTTAAAATCGATATGTTCTGTTTTTCTTTGAGGTGGGAAAATCCAAAAAGCCAGTCTTCATTGGGACTCATTAGTACTTTGACACTTAAAAACCAAATCGAATGTCAAACATATATTAATAGTCTGCTTGAATTAATAGATGCTGATAAGAATCGGTTCCATCCTTAATGATTTATTTTAATGACAGAGTTTATTATTTTGCCCAATGCTTTTCAGGCTCCTGATTTCACAATCAGAAATGTCACAAGACAAAACTTATATTAAAATCACATACCTTTCCTTCTGAAATTAATTTTCGATTATTCTCCTCAAATATTCGGTGATAGTGTGGTTTAAGTAACTCGGGAATCTCTATTGGTTCATTAAACCAATGACCTTGTTCTTGTGTGAGAATTTTACGTGCTTCTCTGTCAATTCGATTGGCCTTAGTTCCATATGCAAAATCCACTATTGAAATAATAATAAGAAAATTTGGAAAATGACACAAAAGAACTCACCTAAATAGGTCATCCAAAACGGAACTATTATGTATGGTAAATAATTGAGTGGTAATGGATCAAATCTTCTCAGATATAACATTCTCGCAAAAGAAACACCTCCCATGACGGTATAAAATCCTGAACCAACAACAATATTGAGAAATGATGGTGATCATGATTCCAAAATCAAATGCAAAAAATGTGAAGATTTCACAAATATTTCAATTCATATTTAAAATTAATATTTTCAATTTAAAATATTATCATTATTGGAATATTCATATTATTATTGAATTTTCATCTGATGAATGTACCAAAACCATACATCGGAATTATTTACCTCCCAACCACCAAACCCTATCCCTCGTAGTAGCCAGCCTTGTGGCAATTTCATAATCTCTCCTTCGTTTCATACTTTTTAATTTTATTAATTGCTGTTGAATCAAGGCTTGTTTTTGTTTTTCTTCCACTTCCTTCAACACTCGATCCGATAGGGATCCAAATAGGTATTGACCCATTTTTGTTGAATCAAAACCATGATTCTTATTTTCGTGATCCTTAGGATTAATCCTTAGGAATCAATCACATGGTGAGTGATCATTGTGTGGTTGTGCTAATTTGTATTGTCATATGGAGCTTTTCAAACTCGACTTAAGGTTGTTTATTGTTCTTTATTTGTTTTCATGTCTTCACACCTCCAGCATGCTGTCAAAGATAAATGTCATTTAAATAGAAGCAGTGCTCTGAGAGATTGAACTCGTACTCTCCTTCATGATAATCACTTCTTGAGGAAGACATTTACAAGCTCCATGATAATGAATATCCACATTGGCACATCTTGCAGTACAAGCCGAGTTGTAAGTGAGACCATTCACACCACACACAGGATTATATTCAATGGCACATTGACATTTTTCTTGTTCATGAATATGAGTCACTTCTTCTTGATGAATAATTTGTTCCCATTCTTCAATCATGGAAGAGAGTTCAACTTCTAAGCTTTGGGTGGAGTATACTTTTTGTTTCATGAGTTCAATAATTGAAATTTGAAGTCTAATGTTTTCAATTTGTTTTGAGAGTTTCTTGGCCACAACGACATATTCTTCATAGACTTGTTTTGAGACTTTGACAGATGACTGATAAATTTCATAGGCCTTCTCCATTTCCATCTTGTACTTTTTAATCAATTTAGTGTAATATCTTGTCAATTTAGTCTTCTTTGAAGAGGAGAGTCTGATCTTGAGAATTTCCATTTGTAATCTCTTGAGTAAAATTTTGTAATATTCAACAAGTTTACAAGCTTTAGTGACCTTTGCTTGAGCCACAATAACCTGTCTGTTATTTTCGACATATTCTTTTTTAATCTTTTGTTCCAAACGATCCAATGATTGCCAAGCGAGATGAAGGTCTTTTTGATTTTTCGTCAACTTGTTAATTTGTTTGACATGTTCTTGAAGTGCTTTTTGTTGATCAGCATAGGAAAGCTTTGTAATGTCAGATTTGAGTATTTGTTCAAATTGGGCATCCAATTGAGCTGAAAGTTTGTTGTTGTCTTTGGTCTTTCCGGCGAGTACGGTCGAGTCTACGACCACCAGAACCACAACCATCACAACAGCAATGACAATCGACAAGAATTGAAATTTCATTTTGTGATGATGAAGAGCGATGAAGAAGCCTTCAGAGTTGTAACACCGTTACGAGTGTTTGTTGATGTTGTTGATCCAATGAAGTTAACCGATAAAAGGTGTTTGTTTTCTCCTCTACTCTGGTCTCTCTCAAAATTTTTTTTTGATGGTGAGCGCTTTATCAGTCATCTGTCATTTGGAGTGACTTGCTGAGTGGAAAAATGTTGATTAAGTTTTTTGGCTGTGCCCAAAGAGAAAGAAAGAACAAATAGAGTTGAACTCTATTAGACGATCTGGAACATCGAAAGTGCATAACAATACATGTATTGAACAATCACAACACTGTACAAATTGAGAGCATGTTTAAAAGTTAATGGATTTCAAGAAAGTGGCATCCTAATAAACCTTGACCACTCCAATATGATGGGACAAGAATAATTTCTTTTTTCACTTTGGTGGAGCCTTCTTCCCTTAGAAGATGAACTTTCATTGGCTTATTGACATTCGATTGAACCACTGTTGGAAGAATTTTCAATCCATTATTCTTAATATCTTTTTTAACAAGGTAGCCAAATTGTGTAATTTCATCTCCTGGATGCAGACCAGCTTTTTCTGCTGGCGAATTTGGAGAAACTGTATTCACTTTGAGGAATGGCTCTAATTGTTCTTCTTCATCATTACTGGTGTCCATGGAGGATGATGATTGAGCAATATTTGGCGACGTTGTGGATGGTTGTGCATTGGCTCTACTCTCTTCATGTAATTCATATAAAAAATTCTGTATATCATTCATCAAGGAAATGTGATCATTTTGTAAACAAGCAATTCTGTGTCTTTTCGATCGAATATCATTTAAATCAAGATCTGCTCTCGGAAAGCCTTCATCATCCACCAATGGTGTTTTTAATCCAACTCCGACCTTATCCAACGACAGCATTAAATCTCTAATTTCTTTTTCCATTGCATCTTTGATGGCTATTAATTGTTTTACAAACGTGGTCGTTATTTTTGTGGGTCGGGATGGAATTTGATATTGAACATAACCTTCTTCGTAAGCAGCTGCAGGTGAGTACATCATTTTTTTTTA